TGATGATGATGATGATGCTCATCATTATCGTCATCATCAGCATCACCATGAACATCATCAACGTCATCATTATCTCCAGTATCATCGACGATACCATCGTCATCAAGTTCATCATCAGTATCATCATCAGGATCATCAAGATCATCATCATCACCATCGTCATCATCCCCACCACCACCATCACCACCACCACCACACCACCATCATCATCATCATCATCGTCATCATCATCACTACCACCACCATCACCACCACCATCATCATGATCATCATCAGCGTCAGCATCATCATCATCATCATCATCATCATCATCATCATCACTGCCACCATCACCACCACCACCATCATCATCATCATCATCATCATCATCATCATCAGCACCAGCATCATCACCATCAGCACCACCATCATTATTATCATCACCATCATCATCATCACCATCATCATCAGCATCATCATCATCGTCATCATCATCTTCATCATCATCAGCATCATCATCATCGTCATCATCATCATCAGTCATCAGCATCAGCATCATCACCATCATCATCATCATTATCTTCATCATCGTTACCACCATCATCACCATCATCATCATCATCATCATCATCATCGTCATCATCGTCATCATCATCATCATCACCATCATCGCATCATCAGTCGTCGTCATCATCGTCGTCGTTGTTCGGGCGACGCCCATGCGTCCTGCAGCTCCCCCCCGTTCCCCCCCCGGCAGGCAGAGCTGAATCCGGGCCCCTCGTCGCCGCTCGTCCCGGTCAGCTCTGCTCCTCGGGGGGGGGGCGCGTGCCTCTCGGGGGGGGGAGGGGCGGCGTGCGCTCCTCCCGTGCTGCTGCTTTTGCTTCTCCTCTTGCTCTCCCCCCCCTTGCTGCTCTCCTCTCTCCTCCTTAGCCACGGGGCGACCTTCTCGCGCAGGTAAAAAAAAAGTGCGCTCCTGGCGGGCTTCCCCCTCGGACTGCTGCTGGCCGCTCCGGCGGCCAGGCTTTCGATGCGCGGGGACACCGAGGCGCAGTCCGCGAGGCGACCGCACCCGCCCCGTCGGGGCGGGCCGCGTCGCCACGCGCGACTGGGGCGAGGTGTTGGCGACCGCTGCGCGCCTTCCGTTGATGGTTGGTATTCTCAACAGCGCCGGTGTGGCAGCACTTCCGGATCGCAGGCGTTGGTACTACTGCAGTGAGCTTTCCGGAGGTGCGTGGACCAGAGAGAAGCAGCGCCGTGAGAGTGCGAGGGCTTTTGCTGCGACAGTGGATTTGGAAGCCCTGTTAGAAGAGCCATCGCCTGAAGGAGGTCTATGGGCTTCAGCGGCCAGCCTGGCCTATCAGTCTTTAAGCAGTCCGAATCAATCTTGGGTCGATTTTCTGGATGTGCTTCAGTGCGCGCCGTTTTTAGCCAGTTGCTTGGTGCGTCACGGTCGCATCTTATGGTGTCAGTGCTGTTCAGATGGCCCCCCTTGCGATCACGTTGAGCCGCCCCCGGAGGTGTAGATGAACCGACTGTTAGTTTCGCCGTTCCAGCGGAGAAGTGGGTGAAGGCTTACGCTTCCGCTGGGTTTGTGCCATCGCCGTCGCCTACTCCTACCTTTGACCTCCCCGTAGCTGCCAGGCTCGGGTCCGGGTTGGCGAGCCCAGTTTTATCTTTTTATGAAACGTGGGCCACGGCACATCCGGCGAAGGTATGCAATCGTCGTGAGCACCATTCTTTGGCAGGTCCATGGAGGGTTCAAGGATGCATATTTGTAGTGCAAGAGCTTCGCGTACCCAGCAGGAGGCCGTCTGGTCCCTCTTAACAGCGTTCGCGCGTGCTGATGTGATATGACCATGGTTGTTCTGGAGAGTTTTTGGGACATCGTACCTGCAGCAACGAAATTGTGCACTAGGAGCAGCTGCAGAACGCCTGTAGACACTTACTCGATGAGGCTCCAGACAGAGCCCATGCGGGGATTCGCCTGGGGCCTGAGCCGTCTGGGGAATCCTGGCGCCAGCTTCTCCAGAGAGGGGTCTTCGTGTCTCAGGCCGTCCTACAGGGGTCAAATCTGCCAGGAAGATTGCAACGAGAGCGCGCGTTTCGCAGCTCGTTGGCTAGTTTCCGTGAATGGGTGGTTTCCAATGAGGCCCTTGGCCCGTTCTATCGGTTGACGCGGCAAGATTTGCAAATGTCAGAGGAGATAACAAAATAAGCTCTCACATTGTGCCACGCGCACGACGTTGTCGACTTGAAGGCTTCAACCTCTTATCACATTGTGCAGAGGATTCAGTCGTCGCTGTTTTTTCAGAGTATTCCAGCTGCGGCGGAGTTAAGCCGTTGGAGCCGTATCTTCTCTGGTCACTCGTGCTTCGGCCCATGCCGTGAAGCCTCGAGCTGTGCTAGGGTTGGATGTCTTCTCGCTGTGCGACGTTGGGCGTCTGCCCGACATGGCGCTCGAAGAACTGTGCGATTTGTGCGGCAGTGTTTTGCGCGCAGTTGGTCCTGGGCCTGGAATTCT